TTCAGACGTTTTTTAAAGATAAATTGTAATAGTTTTTACTCTTGTCAGGGTATAATTAGATTAAGGAACCTAGATATAAATTGACCATGTACCAGCTTGGGAATTACTTTTGTAATTATTGTATCAGGCGTGATGTACAATAAAGCTTTGTCTATTGTCTTGTCTATTGTCTATTGTCAGTATATAGGGCCAAAAGTTTACAATAAACTACCTGCTGAGATAAAAAACATTGCCTCAGTTTCTAAATTTAAATCATCTTTAAAAAGTTTCCTTTTGGAGAGGGCATTTTACTCACTAGAAGAATATCTTGGAGATGTGATTACAATTTGAAAGGTATTACTTCTCCCATAGGTTTGTATTGATTGCTTGATTTGTTTTGTATTTTATAATGTAGATTTTTCAATGTATAATTTTATTAGACTTAATGACAAATCACCTGTCAAGAGAATTGATGTAATGTGATGATGTTAAATAAATAAATAAATAAATAAAAGAGTCCTCCATCTCCTTAGAAAACTTAGGCCTGAAATTCCTGAAAATTCTCTTCTGTCAGTGTATTATGCATTATTCCACAGCCATGTAACCTATGGGCTAGTACTGTGGGGGCACTCCTCAGCGGCTGAAGATGTGCTGCTCTTGCAAAAGGCAGCCTTGAGGATCATAACATCTGCTGGCTACCTAGATCACTGCCGACCTATCTTCAAGGACCTGGGAGTCCTTACAGTATACAGCCAATATGTGCTGGATATACTGACCCTATTGAAGAGCAACTTAAAGGCTCACCTTAGGAGAGAGGAGGTACATGCACACCACACCAGGAGGGCCCAAAACATAGATTTTCCCCGCTGTCGTCTCAGCCATACCTCGAGTAGATATCCACGCTCAGCCATAAGAATTTTCAATACGCTGCCTACTCGAGTGCGGGAGATGGATGCGCCCTCTTTTAAGAAGTTATTAAAAGATGTATTGCTTAAAAGGCCGCTGTACTCCTTAAAGGAACTTGAGGATGAGCCCCTTGTTAGATGAGTTTCTGTCCGCCTTGCCAATAGTAAACGGCCAAGTTAAGTTTAGTGACTCAGTATAATTACTGTAAATAATGTACATAGTTTTTATTTTTATCATTAACAATATAACGCAATCTATCAGACTAGTTCTGTCAAAGATGAAGAATTCAAGTATACAAGTATACAAGTAAGGTAGCAAAATCACTATATAGTTCATAAGATTTAGATTGCATAAAGTACCTTCAGCACAATAAAAAATACAGGAAACTAAAAAACATTTAAGCCTTAAACAGCCACATCTAACAATATAAGACAAGATACAGAACATGCAATTACATAATTTGAGACCGAGTAGGCTTGCATAACGAAACAAAAATATGCAAACAACAACAACTATGCTTGTGGTTTCGTCAATAGAAAGATAAAATATGTATAACAAATATTTTAACTTATAAAATAAGATTGTAGATTAGTTACAAGTTTAATATGTAGCCATAAACAGTTTTATCATAGTAAGGAATGGCCAGCGGCAAATTTAATATTCACGAAAATACTGACTGAGTTAGAGATAACATTTAACAGTCATCATAAAACTATTATTTTTATGATAAAAAAAAATTGGGGTAAGTCGTAAAGAAATAAAAGTGATAAAACTCAAGGTTCTTGGAAGTACTTGAAAAACAACAATTGTCTTGATAAAATGTTAATGGATTTGGGACTGCTAATGGTTTTTTTATTGCATCATCACCCTAGTAATAAATTATGAAGATCGTAAACAAACATCTGATAAGACTTTTATGTGCTCGGAACCAACTGCCTTTGACTATGATAGTAAACTGAAAGTAATTTATTGAACCGAATTTGTACTGTGTAAAATGCTGTACCGAACCGATGACGGTAATTTAGCTGTACCGTACCGACTTTTTCGGTGCACCGCAGACCCCTATAAAATATAGTCAAAAATATGTAATAAAACAAACTAGTTGCTCTGCCCGTGCTTCGCTACGGAGTGAGAATGCAGAAAAGAATATTTTGGTTTTACTCTAAGATACTATAATATACTATAAGAAACAGTTACAACACACTTACCAGGAAACATATAGGCAAAGGCTCAATCGTACCTATTGATTAATTAAATGAATATATCTTAATGTATTACAGTACCATCATTTTGTATAGTGTATATCATTTAAAATATATGCAAAAGTATAACTCATTGACCACATGGCACCAAGAAACAATTCCTCTTGTAAACAAATTAAATTAAATAGCAGAACAGTATTTCTGACAACAGCTAGAGTTTCATAACAATGTTTGTTTCCCATGTTAATCTTATGGAGAAATACGAAACTTTAAAGGGCCCCAGGGCCTCACTCTAATTATTTCCCTATAAAAAAATTTTCCTGCACAACTTCACGTTACGCTCTTCTCAATGACACCAAAAACACGTCAATCGGTTCTGTAGTTTCGGAGGAGTAATTGTCACAAAAAATCTGCTTGCGTATTAAATAAGTATATAGATTATATAATAATATTTTATCATGCTCACGTATTTGTGCTATACTCACAACATTTTGTGCACGACCCTGTCGTATCAATTCTTTGAAAACCATTGTAGGCCTAAAACAACTCGCATTACTGACACAGTAAAAAATTACAAAAAATTCTCCATTTAAAATAATATCATAACAGTATTGTAATTTTTAAGTTGAGCCATTGCATATGACTTGATTTGAGTTGTGAATATTATGTGCTCTCTGGTTGCAACCATCGATATATAACGACGACTGTACATCGATCGTGAGGAACTACTACTATCGATATAAATCATTGGATCGCGGGACGTCGCAACAATGGCATCATACACGGATATTAGAACAGAAATGGTATGGATCAAAACATACAAGAATGATGTCACTGGATGAAATCTGATACTAATAATCTCCAAATGTGTTTTGGACGTTTTTTGACAGTTGCATTGAAATAACAATACAAACATGTTTATTTTCGGGTCGTCTGTTTGTTTATGATCCATATAGTTTCTATTTTATAATCCCTGGGATCGTCCACAACGTGTCCATTCCGGTGACACATTGTCCAAAACTACAGAGCGTCCTTGGGGTTTCCTTTAATATTATTTGTTCAGCATTAGTGTATCATCTTTTGCAGTAAATAATCTACGATTTTGAACAGTCGTCATTATTCCGTTGTAAAACACCTCAAGCGAATTTACATAATCTATATATAAAGCCAAAAGTACCCATGAACTTTTGAGAAAACTACAAGTCACACCCCCATAAACCATATACTTAAAATGTTCGTCATGACGAGAATATACCTAATGTTAAAAATACCTCAGCTGTACTTATTTGTTTGTTATTCTTTCAATTTATTACCTTATTAAAATCAGGTGTGATTATTTGTTTCTTTTACTGTATTTTGTTTATTTCAGGTTAACTTAACCAATCAATAGTTTTATTAATACTTATGATGTCAAACGGGGCGAAGCCCGTGGGTAACAGCTAGTCAATTTTAAAGGGTATTTATGGGAATGTCCTTTTCTTTTGTATTGTATTTAGTAGTTTGCCACTGTACCGTAGATGATTTGTTATAAGCATATGTTACAGTTCATTTATTTACATTTCCGTAAAGGGCGTAAAGCTGTCTTTGCTATCTAGATTTCCATAAGATCGATGTTAAAAATATTAAAATTTCATTTCAAGTTTTTAACGAAATAAGAATTTTTCCAGAACAGCATGGATATTGTTTTTTGTCTGAAACTAAGTTTTTGAAATCATTGTGCGCAAATGTGATTCGTATTATAGTATAGATAGATTCAGGTCTTCCAAACTTAAATTAATCTCAGTTCTGATATATAATTTTTTTTGTTAAATTCTTCAAAACTTTATTTTGCAGAACGTAGACCTAATTATTCCTGTGACCACAACATTATATAATTGACTTGTATACTGAAGTAGACATCCCATCTATATGGACCACAGCTGTTGCCAGTATCTTACTAATATTATAAATGTGAAAGTTTGTGTGTTTGTTTGTTTGTTTGTTTGTTTGTTTGTGTGTTTGAAGTTCAATCACGCATAAACCACTGGACGGATTGGGCTGAAATTTGGCATGATGATAGCTTACATTCCCGATTAACATATAGGCATATTCTTATCTCAAAAATCCTTTCGGGCTCCGCCCCAGTAGCTCTGTAATACCCCATGTTAACCTTATGAGTATTCATATTTAAAGGGAATTAAAGAATTTAGTCAGCTGTTTCAACTAAAAAAGTTGGTTCTATGATATGGAAAAGCATTAAAAAGTTATAAGATTTACCAACAGGGTGCAGCACTATATATTTTTTGCATTTATGAAAACAGCTAATTTTAACTAAGCAGCAACAAAAAACTGTGATTCGCAATGAGAACTGTCAAAGTAGGATTGTTTACAGTTATGTTTGTGTTTTTCATTTCATGAATAATTTGTGATATTTTGCGAATTGTTGATAATTTATTTTACTCTATTGTTTAGGTGAAGTGGTAGAACATTATGGCTATGGTAGATGTGTAATACTATAGAATAGGCCCTACTGTAAATTTAAAAAAAAACAAATTTTATCAAACTGTGTCCTCCTTTATTGCAAACGCAAAGCTTGAGTATAACTGCAATAAGCATTTTATACTTATTCCAACCCCGTACGAAGGACGGGTACTCTGCTAGTATCTTTATAAAAAAGTTGAGAGAGCTATTGACAAAATGACTTGTGTCTAAAATTCTACTTTCTACATTTTTTGCTGCTGAGATGGGTCATAACAGTTGCTATAGCTTACAATGAGTCGTTCTATTAGATGGACAACATGGGGATGGAATGTCTAGTTGTATCAATAGCGAAAGGTTATAGGCTATATATTGTTTTGCGTTCCTATTGCTATGTTTATGAGAAGCTATCAGTGTTTCCATCAGTGGTTTTCTATAACACTGTGTACTATCTAGGAGTGTCTGTGGCAGATGAAGCTGATATGGAGGATGACAGCCAGCCTGGCGTGCTGGAGATGATTTTGAACGGAGTGATTGCAGTGGCTCAACTCATAGCGCAGTCCTCTTACATCGGCACCAACATCATCATGATGGTAGGTCTGAGAACACTGCAAGGTAGTTTATTGTACTGTCGATTCACATGAATCTAAACACTTATGGGACCAGGTGTTGGATTGCCATAAATGTCAGATAGTCAACATTTATTCTAAATTTAAACTTTTAAATAAGAATAGTCAACTTGTGATGTTGATTGTGTAGCCTGCTTACTCTGGGTGTTCAAACTAATCACTATAGATTTTTCATCATCTTAGCTGCTGTCTACTTTAAGATTAAATATGCTTCTGGCTTTTCCTACTATTCATGTTTCTGGTGAAAGTTAAAAATTTAAAACATAGAAATTCATATTTAAAACTGTATGAATGCTGTGAATCATATTTTTACGTGATTTTCATTTTGTGTGTTTTTTGTCATTGGAATGTTTAGGTTTCTTACATGAACAATCCAAACCTAGTGTTATCAAACATTGACCTGTTGATAGACAGTCCAATGACAAATTACATTTTAGTTCAGAATGGATCCCACTCGGTATCAAACCATCAACTCTCAACTTGAAGGTACTACAACCACTTTGCTGCCCAAACAATATTTTAAAATGATTTAGCTAGGAAACCAAACCCTTTATAAACTAAAACCTGACAACTTTGCCAATCCAAATCATTTAAACATCAAATTGTCTGCAGGCGTGGAGCATAACCTACCACAGTTGGCTGACGTTCGTGCTACTACTGTGGGCGATGTTCATGTGGATGTTGCCTAACCAGCGGAAGACGATGTTGCGCACGTCACCATTCCTCGTGCTCTACGCAGAGTTCCTCCTGGTGGCGCAGTACCTCTACGGCATGAACCTGACAGACGACGAGCTGCCGACCAAGATACAGGGTCTAAACCTCAAGCAGATTGGGTTTGAGAAGTATCTTCATCTACCGGTCAAACCTCTGTTGGTCAAGGTTGGTATATTGCTGTTGCTCGAATGCTGCGATACTTATTGTAATTGATGGAGAGGAGATCAAGTTTGGTGAATTTTTTTGACGATGAAACTCTCAAATAATTGTTAGGAAAAGTGTACTCTTTGCCATATTGATCAGTGATCTATAATAATGTTTTTGGTTAATCTACTACTAAAGATTTTGCGATTTTTCCTAGACAAATAATGTGCATTTTTTAAACCATTATGTAACAAAAAAGATAATTGGGTATAATCATCAGGCTATCTAACTTTGCTTGTTGTCAATTGAAAACTACTTCTAGAGTTTTGAAAATATTTAGAAATCAGCATTAAATTCTCCATATTTATTTATGTTCCTGTCAGTTTAAACAAGTCATAAACTAGAATATAACCTGTATATTGTATTGAGTAATTGTTATTTACAATATAGCTAAAACATTGACTTGAAATTAATAATCTTTGAAACCATGCACACTTTGATATTGAATCGTAGATTTGAGATTTTAAATGTTTTAGACTCTTTACACATTGATGTTTTGGATCACCCTGCGCCAACACAACCAAGAGAAGTGGGAGGCTCGCCAATCATCTGCTATCACTGACATGGTGGCACCTCTGCAACTTGGAGTCGGTACTGCCACCACGGGTAAAGCAAACAAACATTCCCTTGTTTGTAGCTATAATAATTTCCATGCCTAGTGTATCTTGGAAGAACCAAACTAGTCTCATTTTTCATAATGCTCAATAACTAGTATGTTCATAAAGTAATTACTTAATCCTTGGGCACACTGATTTTGAAATGCCATTAGCCACATGCAGAAATTACGTTCATGTCTAGGAAAATTGAGAAAACCCTCAGGTTAATATGATTTGTTGCAAAAAGTTATGCTAAATAAAAATAATAAAGGTTGGAGACAAAAAGATGATACACGCAAATTATATGAAGCCCTAAAATTTATCTAGGAGTCATTATAAAACAAACAATGAAATATCAGTCAAAATATGGAAATTTGTGATAGTAAATAAAAAATAATTGAATTTATTTGACAAATTATTTCATTTTGTTGTGTAAAACTCTTAATTTATTAAACTTGTAGCATTTTGTAAGAAAAATATTTGATTTTTCTAGAGCGCTAATTGGCATCCTAATAGTAAAAAATACACCGATAAAAAACTAGGTTAATAGATTTTAAGTTATTAAAACAATAACATTACAAAAACACTAAATAAAAGGTTTAATAGGCGCAAATTTTGCTAATAACACAATTTAACTTTTTATCTGTATTGCATCTACTACTTTATCCAGATTGTGTGTATTAAAGTTATAATTAATATAGAAAACACTATGCCTACCTTGCAATGAGTACATAGCAAAAAGGTGTTCAATCACAAACAACTGTTTTGTGGATGTGTGTAAAGTGTCAATGTCAGTGTGAAGTGTGAAGAGCGTGAAATTCATTATCACTTTGAAGCTTCGATGACTCTTTCAACCTAATAGCTTTGATATAATCTTTTCACTTTTTTTGGATGATAGTGAACAAGTCAAATCTCTTCCTGTATTGATGTTATTTTTTTGTGAAGTGAATTTGGTTGTGGCAATACCAGTTGTGCTGGAATTATACCATGAAAAATCAATTGAGTATATTTGCGCTATTGGGGTTTATTTATCATACGTTGATTAAAATGTCTCAACCATATATATTTAACAAGAAACAGTAATACAGCCATCGAATGAAGTGAAACCGTGTTGTGTCAGTCTTTGATTGTTAGAAGTTTTCTCCGATGATTATTCTTTAAATGATAAAAGTGTTCAGTGTTACAAAATATTGTTTATTAAAAGAGTTTATTAATTTTTAAGTAATCGAAAATGTACTGAATGAAAAAGTTTAATGTAATTTAAAATCTACGCTATCACTCACCTAAGTTTTAACAGGAAAACAAATATTTTTAATGAACGTGTGGAACCATGTTGAATCTAAAAAAAAAAACCAATCAGTATTCATCAGTATCGCTGGTTAGTTTCATAATGAGGTTTCACCAACTCAAGAGCGATGTTGCAGCTATGGGGGCAGAGTCTCAGACCAAGACCAACCAGTTTGTGCAGCGCACCGGCCGTGTGGTCAGGGGATTCCTCACCAAGTACTGGATCTGGGTAGTGGCTGGAATACTGTTCACCATCGGCATCACTGGCCAACGCATGACTGTGTTCCGCATAATATACATGGCCCTTGCACTCGTCTTCATACTCACCTTCCAGGTTAGTTGGGTCTCGTACTGTTGTATAATTACTATTATAAAAAAAGCAAGGATTTCAATTTTAATGGTTATTTCTGTTACCGTAAATTCAGTTGTTGCATGATTTTGAATAGGTCCTGTTAGCCATGTGTTAAAGCCAAATCTTGAATCTCAAGCCCACCAAATCTCATGATTCAATTGCTAGATTGAGAATTGAATTTCAGAGTTAATTTTTAGAAACACTTGGTATTAGTTATAACTACCACAACCTGTAAATAAATACTATAACCGGAATATAAATGTTAAAGTTCTTCTAAATCTAACAATTTTACTTAGGCTAATTGTTTTTGACAATTACTAACCCTATTGATTTTTATTAAACCACTGCTTGTTTTTGCAGTTATCTTGGGTCCTTTGGCGCAAGATCATGTATGGTTTCTGGTTGACTGTGATTATCTACTCCATGCTCATCCTTGTGATGACTTACACTTACCAGTTTGACAACTTCTCGTCCTACTGGAAGACAATTGGAATAGACGAGGAGCTGTAAGTATTTGAAATATCTCACATTCTAGGTTGAGAAAATTATGCACACTACTGTCTAAAGTAGGTACAAGTAGGTTGTAAAGTATGTTTCATAAGAATTCAAATTAGATGCCATTTGGTATACAATAGAGGTTTAGATTTTCTATTGAATTGTGAACATCTTCTACGCTCGTGTACAGAATGATCATCGTCGTATATGATCACGGCGAAATCCTGATACCTCTTCTGATCATATAGACATCATCATTGTCTTTCGCGATCACAGAAAAATCCTCATCATCACCTCTGGGTTCATAATCTCACCAAGGCAGTAATATTTCTCAACCTCTGCATTTATTGTATGGACATCATCATTGTCTTCTGTGATTGTGGCAAATTCCTCCACGATCACCAAAACGTCATCATCGTCTGTTGCGATTACGGCAAATTCCTGAACACTTCTTACAGTTGTGGAGGTATCATCATCTTCTGCAATCATGGCAAAATCATAAAGATTGGTGGTTACGGAGAAATCTTCATTGCCTCTCACGATCAAAGAAATGTATTATCCCCGGCAATCATGACAAAAGTACACGCTTTAAAATCATGCAATCTACGCAGGCACATTCTGCAATCAGGAAAAATCATGATGGTAAAAGCTCAGTTCAAGCTCGATTTTCTGACTCTAGGTCATTCGAGCATTTAGTATAGGCTCAACTCCACACCTCTAGTATAAAATCTGTGTGTCAAAAATAGTTTTCATTAAAGGAATTATTTGAAAATAAGTTTTGGAAAGTACTTGTTTTGTAAAAACTTGTGTAATGATGTTATGAAGTTATGATAATAAGGAGTTTTTTATTTAACATAGTCACACTAACAACTCATTATGCCTTATTTGTATGAACAAACATCATACTTTGCTCCAAATGATTTAATTTAGGCCTATTTCATAGCATCTTTTTTATACCGTACCAAAATTTGATTATTAATTTTACAAGTTTTATTTTGTCAATTTTCAGACAACTGGACATAGGACTTGAGAGATTTGATACAACGGAACTATTTGTTAGACTTTTGACTCCAACATTCTTTGTTGTCATCACTGTTATACAGTTGTACTACTTTCACAAGGACTTCCTTGCAATATCAGATATTAAAAGCAGGTAAGTTTTGTTCCATATTTTCTTTACTTAAACCATAGACAAATAGAATAAATATATACTGTCAGCTGTGCTGCGGTTAGCAAAAGTTCTGGCGTCCGCCGCTAGGTTTTCCGTGTAGTTACGGCGCACTTCGCTTCAGCGTCTGCTGGTCACATACGGCTCCTGCGCTCCTCGCCTGCAGCGGTGTGCGCCGTAACTACACAGCACGCCTAGCGGTGGGCGCCGAAACCTTCCTTTGACAGTCTATATTTATTCTATTTGTCTATGCTTAAACATAGAAATTCAATTTTAATATACGTATTTAATAAAATAGATAAATAAAAAAAAACTAAAGTTTTGCAAACTAAATCCTAGTATATGAGCAATCAAATGAACAGTAGTGGCAGATAGGGTCTGTATCAAAGTAGATACAAATATATTATTCGTCCGACGATAAGTTTTGGAAACAATTTTATTTAGTTCTTTTGTCTTGTAAGCCTTCCAACAGTCTAATGCATTAATACTAGGGGTCTGCGGTGCACCGAAAAAGTCGGTACGGTACGGTACAAGCTTAATTACCGTCATCGGTTCGGTACAGCATTTTACACGGTACAAATTCGGTTCGGTACAGCCTATTATAATAATAAATTACTTTCAGTTTACTATCGTAGTCAACGGCAGTTGGTTCCGAGCACATAAAAGTCTTATCAGATGTTTGTTTACGATCTTCATAATTTATTACTAGCGTGATGATGCAATAAAAAACCCATTAGCAGTCCCAAATCCATTAACATTTTATCACGACAATAATTGTTGTATTGAAGTACTTCCAAGAACTGTTGAGTTTTATCACTTTTATTTCTTTACGACTTTCCCCAATTCCGTTTTATCATAAAAATAATAGTTTTATGATGACTGTTAAATGATATCTCTAACTTAATCAGTATTTTCGTGAATATTGAATTTGCCGCTGGCCATTGCCTACTGCCATAAAACTGTTTATGGCTACATATTAAACTTGTAACAAATCTACAATCTTATTTTATAAATTAAATATTTGTTATAGATATTTTATCTTTCTATTGACGACCATGGATATATACAAACTTTTGTCGTAATTTTAATTACAACATCAAAATACAATATTGCACAATCGTGATATTTTAGGCCATTGACCTTTATTATGCATCCGGTATTGCTGTTTCAGAAGAGAAGCACGTTGATAAATTATAAATTGATATTCCCGTAGTTAAAAAGAATTATTTCATAGACCTATAAAACAAAATCATAAAATCTTACATAAAGATAACAATAACAGAAATTGTAAAAAGGGTATAAAGATAACAACGTCATTCTTTCTCTTTGTTCTTCTATTTCTTGGGTTTCCCTTCATCACGCATTCAACAAGTTGCCATGGTTACTAATCACCCATGTCGTTATCAGCTTTTGTGACATAGCGCACAGCAGGGGGTAAAACTTGACGAAAATCGGTAAATTTTTACCTATTATTTAATTACCAATGAATGTACGGTACTACTTTATTGGTATTTGGTATTGTATTAATAATCGGTCCAAATGGCAGATTTTTGTCAAATTTTACACCAAATTTATTGAAATTTCAAGGTGAATATTAATAAAACAATTATTACCAAATATTTGTATTAATTTAAAAGATTGATTTGTGGTACAGTAGAGTCCCCCAAACTCGGCGTAATGTGGACTGGAAGGGTGCCGAGTTTGTGAAATGCCGGGTTATCGGGAACTAGGGTTAAAAATAAGAACAATACAATTTTTAAGCTATTTAACCGCCTTTTTTTATTAATATTTATATTAAAAGTCAGTATTAAGTCATCAGATAAAGTACAACAAATCCTTGGTACGAGTTGTGAATGATTTGACTTGAGCTGGCTTGAGTCCATGTTTAACTCGGACTAAAAAAATCACTAATTTTTTGAGCCAGATGATGGCCGAGTTATCCAGACTGCCGGGTTATCGAGTGCCGAGTTAGCGGGACTCTACTGTATTGGGTTCCCCACTGAGTGCAGCCGAGCGGCACTAATGAGGGTCGGACCTTCTTGGGGGTGAACAATAGACGGCTTATCAGACCCTCCCCTCCCCGTGGTCTGGAGAAAGCATGTAAACAAACTATTGCACAAGCGTGCGTGACTTGACATTGAGCTGCTTCAACTATAATTTTGTCAAATGAACTGTGATGTTTCAAAATCAAAAACAATAATTTGGGACCATACTGCTTAACAATAATGGACTGCAATTATTGTTGAACATACAATCCATTTTTAACAAACTAAGATTATACGATTCAAATACAATTATAAAAATTATCTTGGTATTTTACTTGGGGTAATGAAGTTATGTAGGCTAGTGTAATTCTCGGTTCATCAAGGTTCTACTGAATTATGTTTGGCAGTGAATAAGTGTAGAATGCAATTTATAAATTCAGGGATACACACCTTTTACACAGTTATAAAGTCTAATTGCCCAACATCAAATCTTACTCTGTGATAATCCAAATTTTAGTTTCAGAAAAAAACTTTGCAAGAATTGTATCCATCTTATAACTTAACTAGTTTTGAAGCTGATAAAAAAAACGGTCTTTGCCATTACTTCATCATAACCTCCGTCCTCCAGTTTTTCATTGTCATCTGCTGTGAACAGCTGGCAAAACTACACTGTCTTCTACTGAATGCTTTTATATGTTTTTAAAATAAAAAAAAAACAACTAGACATTGTGTTGGTTGGAAATAATTTATCAGTTTTGTGAAATTATCTTGTCAATAAATGTTTCAAACATGTTTATTCATAAAAACTCTCATCCTATTTTTAAACTACTTTATCATGGCTATTCAAAGTATCTCAGAGTAAAATAGGTAAAGCCTTTATCTCAACTGTGATTTTTCTTGACACAATCCTCGTAGTAGTAAAAGGTTTTGTTTTAATAATATGTGGTACAGTAATTGTTGTTAGAAAACCATGAATGTAGGATACTATCCATTTTCATAGTAATGTCTATGTATTAAAGTTAAAAATAATGGTTTGGATACAGTTCTGAGAAGAAAACCGCAAAAATACGGGTAGCCACGTACCGTACCGATTTTGTACCGAGAACCGAGGTACAAAATATTGTACCGTACCGAACCGTACCGACCTTAAATTTTCTGTACCGCAGACCCCTAATTAATACTGCACAATCTATCAAAAACACAAAAACACATTGTCGTAAAAGCACAGGTCTTGCATTTATTCAACATCAGACGCAGACGAATGATTCTACAGATACTTACTTTCTACAAATTAACTTGCTGTGGCTTGCTTGGCAGTCACATTCCATTATAAAGTATTGGGGTTGAGATAGTTGAAAAGTACGGAGCTATAGGCATATTTACTCTTATTCCCAGGGGCACCAGCTCTGTAAGACCTCAGTCAGAGGGTCCCTCAGACACGACGTCTGTACCCAAGTCCGAGATGTCCATCCCCATGTCTCCCACGGAGAGGGATCCCGACATGGACTCTCCACAGACTCGCCAGTCCAAGAAGTCCTTCCACATACTGGCTAGTGAGTCTTACCTTGTACAAACTAAAAATAATCGTCTCACGTGCATATCACAAAGTCGTTACCAGAACTGAAATTAATTCTCTGTTTTCCACATCAACTGACTAAATAGTACTCATTCTTTAAAAGTAAGTTCCAATCATTGAAATTTTATGATATGGGTCATTTACCTGTATTTTACAAATACAAATATGTTGGCTCATCACCTTCTATTTTTTATTTTTATATTCATGCATGGATGTATTTGTGATTTAAGAATTACGAACAGGTAATTTAAAACATATCGGTAGGGAGCTTTATGTAAAGACTAGTTTTACTGCCAGAACATTTTGGTTTTACCTAATTTATTAGTAGATAAAATAACATAGATAACAGGTTTTTTATAAGTAATTTTAAACTAAATAAACTTATAATCCAGGGTGTCCAAGCAATTGAGAAATCGTGAAAACTGGGAGTTGTATGTGAAAATGACAGTTTAAATAAAATTTTTAATTAATTTCCTACAATAGCTAATGACTCTTTCATTCACTGGTATCCTGTCAGTTTAATAAAAAACCCCGAAGTGTTTCTGAATAGAAATTAACTTATACACAAACGCTCAATATTATTGTATTGTTCTCACAGACCTCACCCACCTCAAGTTGCACTTTGTTGGTACCCAAGTGTTGACCAGCCTTACTCAGCTGATAGAGTACATCTGGCTCTACCTTGAACTGCACATGCTCAAGATCATCATGCTCTCTGTCATGCTGTTGTCTGTCTATGATGTAAGCTGCATACAAATAGTATAACATGAATTGTGTGATTCCAACTTCAATGGTGCATTTGTGTCGTCAATTTTTATATCCTTAGTGTCAATGTTGCGGTGAAATTTTTAATTTTCAACTAAATTATAATAAATGCCACAAATTACTTTTAATAAAATTTAGAGAAGAAAATAACCAATTTAAAAGTTAATATCACTTCTGATGAGTCTTTGTAAGGTTGATTTTTAATTTTGTAGTATATTTTGCATCAACTGCCAAAATGTCTGTTGGCTTAAGATTATTTTTCAAGTTTGAGTGCCGGAGGTGAAATTTTTTAAGTTTTTCATCACACTTTTACATAAACAATGTTTTAATATGTTGAATTTTATTCTTGAGAATCTTGGGAGTTCATCTAGCTTGCCTGAGAAAAGTGGAGTCCATGGGCTAATAGATACACAAAACATAACACTGATATTGTTTCTATTAGACCCTGGACTCTACTTTTCTCAGGCATGATAGCTGAACTTTATTACTTAAAAAAAAAATCCTTACAAGCCAGTTCTATTTTCTTTAAAACATAAACTTGGACATAATTCATTTACAGGTTTGTGCTCTGCATTTTGTGTTTGTCCTGCTGGCAGTGGTATCTTTAACATTCGGCAGCAACATCCAAACAGTCGTCACCCACATAATCTCGGTCTTGGTGTCTATCCTTCTTCTCTCCAAGATGATCTACCAAATAGAATACATCAAACATGAAAACTGGCAAGTCAATTGTTCGGTAAGTATTCATCTTCATAAGTGAGTTGGTTTTCTTATAGTGAAGTTGGTTAAACACATCACAGGAGGGCCAATTAAATTATGGTTCCAATGACTTTGGTGACTATTAGCCCTGGTTGTTGTTGTTGTGAACAGTACCTTGTATAATATATTGTACATGTAATCTATTATCTATTTTTGCGGGAAAATCAATAAATTAACTGTTTGATTAATTGTTTGCAAAGTTTCAAAAAATATTCCGTTTTTGCCTATAGGCCTACATAATATTAAAAATTATATTTCTGCATTTTAGGCCTAATCAGAGAAGTTATCAGTTCTAAATTTGCTAATTTTGTTACCATGTATTTAATATACAAATACTAAAATACACTCATATAAATCATAATTTTTACTGAAAACAAGAGGATAACTTAAACAATTTTCTACCCAGGAGACAAACACTACCTACAATACTGCAGAGTGGGTTGGCTTCCGCAAAGCTGATAATGAGAATGGCATCAGTCTTCCCTACCTTCTTCACGGCTATATAGGTAAGATATTTATATGAGAACTCCATTTGACCTAATTTAAATTATTAGAAAATTCACCTACTTAGGGCCTAATTTCTTGGCCATTAAATCCTTGGCAGGTTTTTTCCTCGTCAACGATTCCTCTTATTTTTTCTCTATTCACCACTGATTTAGGTTTAAGCCTCATTGTAGTAATAATGTCTTACAACATTTACCTCTTCCATTTCAACCTTGGTCTACCAAACGGAATGGGCATACGGGAGGGACGATGGCTAAAGGTGTGGTGACGTCATATCTATAGTGGCTAATGTCTTCTCTTGGGGCAACATGATTACCGTAACGAGACAATGTGATTCCAGCGGCATTCGTGGCATAGTTGGTAGCGCATCGGACTAGTGTTCAGGAGGTCTCGAGTTCGAAACCCGTCGGGGACACTAACTTCGTTGTCAAAGATTTTGCTTTATTTGGCTTTTTATCTTATATCTTTTTTATATTATCAGCAAGTTTGGTTGGTTAGGTTAGGTTATGACAGTTTAATTTTATAATACTAAATTTTAAAATTGATTTTATAATTAAAAATTATAAGTAAACATTCATTTCATTTTACTTTCTCCCCCTATACCATAGTATATGGAGAAAGTATTGTTTTCGTTAAAATTTTCGAGTTTGAGTTTTGAGTGGATATATTCGTTGGGCCCCCCTGGACCTAAAAAAGTGGTTTTCGAAGTGATGTCTCTGTGTGTGTGTGTGTGTGTGTGTGTGTGTGTGTGTGTGTGTGTCTGTATTCACCGAATAGTGGCATCCTTCACAGGCACACAGCCGTACTGTGGCACCTTCAAAAATTGTGGCACCTTTTTCAGGGTGCCACAGCTAATTCCATCATTTTTGAGGTTTTCCAGCATTATTACGTCGTTTAAACATCACATGCCACAATTGAGTATTTTTAAGTAGCGCAGGTACACACCGAATTGTGGAACACAAAACCATACAGGTAGCTAGCGCGCCTCGTGCCGTCCGCCGGAACTATAACTTTCCTAATGCTACGTTGCCAATTCTCGCGCCAGCTTACACTCCAAATAGTGGCACCATGCTGCAATTCGGTATATATCAACAGTGTGTGTACAGGATGCCACTAAATGAGTTGTAGCGCTTGAGCAGTGTGTAGAACAGTGCAACAAGCAACTAATAAACTAATAACACTGTACTGCCACGTGCTATAAAACAATTTACATACCATAAATAATATGCTTTTGCTCCGAGTGGTGAACAATGTTTTACATTAAAAATAATTTGTGTAGTAAATCATTATTTAAATTGTTTTTATGCCACCATTAAAAAATGTATTTTTGTTTACAAACATAAATTGGTAACGTAGTTACTTTGTATCAATTGAATTTTTACATTGAAACAATAACAATGTTTTAGGTTAGAACACTATATAAGTTGTCCTATGCTGCGATTTTTTATCTTACAAACTATTTCGTGCTGACATTTATTTTATTAACATTCTAGTCATGTTGACAAAATATTTTACAATTAGGCCTACATTTCTGAATCACTCAGTAAAGGTAGATTTCGATGCATCATTGCTGAAAGTTATGTTTTGCTTCTCACTCTCAGAGTATTCCAAAGACATCTAATGTTTCAATCCATGTTCAAATGTTATATGAGGTAAACATATAACCGAATCAATTAAAGTACTTAAATTAAAATACATATTATTATCAACATGCATAAACTAGTTCAGATTATATATCATCTCACAATCATATTTGCAAAACCTACTGTACTGTGGTGTTTTAACCAGTCCCCACTAACAAAAGCAAATGAAAGGTCCTAAAGACGTTAACATTGAGTCATAACAAGAGTAGTTTATTTATTTATTTATTTATTTGTATACGGCAAACACCATTTTACATTTCACATTGCAATTATATACAGATGGCCAAAAAAAGATGACGTAATAATACATGCGTATGACCATTACAGCTATCTTATCTCCATTACAGTTTAAAATTTGTAACCGTGATACTGTAAATAATTTGATAGTGTTTGATATTATACAATCGTTTTACAATTTTGTCAATCTATCTGTTACTTTAAATACAAATGTATTTTTATTATTCAATGATTTGATTTGTAGAACCTTTAGTATTCTCAAGTTTATTAATAATAAACCTATTTCAACATACAATATCAATTTTAGGAAATTCCTAGTACGGTTAGAAATATATTGGCATCCGTGAGGTTTGTGTAATGTTTTTTTAAAAACACAATATGTTATATTTAACTTCACTTATTATTTATTTAATATGTTTCTACTTCTTGAAATTCTCAGTTAACTGGGAGGCGGAGCAAACAGTTTGTTCTAAAATGAACTTGGAAATTCAAACAATCTTTTTACTGTTGGTTTACTTAAAGTCTATAATGTTCTACTATGAATGCAAATCTATAATATAGTATAAATTTTCAGTCCCACCCTCAAAAACTATGATATTTAATAGTTGAATTTTTATAACGTAATTCATGACGGTTGAACAATGACCTTTAAAATATGCTTTTGTTTTCTAGCGTTTACCGTATCTTACAAAAAGTTAGTTTACATAATTAATAACAAAAACTTGTTGGACAAAAGAAAAATTCTCAAAAGCTACAAATTAGTTTATAATGTATCTATATCGGTTTGGCGTTTTGTTTACAATGTATTTTCAAAGTCACAAGATGGTTTCTAAAACTCTTTATACAACTCTTCTTTATACAATTTAAAAAAAAATATGATCCAAGAAATTGAGCTTTTTAGCTACAAAATCCACCGTTTTTTAACTTACCTGACAAAAAAATTAAAACAGTAGCAGCCGACGAACTTTTTTATGTCATATTTTAAAACTCATTTAAAGTACCGACTTTATTTCAAGATTTAAAATAGAAAATAGAAACTTTTAAGCTTTTAATTAGAACCAATAGTGTCCTAGATTAATTGACATCTTTCATACGAAGTTCCAACGATTTACATTAGTCTAAATAGGCTAAATGTCAAGTTATTTTGAAGCTGGACATTGAGTTTTGGTGCCGTTTTCATTGGCATCAACCACTTCTAACCTGCACTAAGATGGCGGACCTGGCTTCAGCTGCTTGTATGTTACTTAGATAGGCGTGCTCCATCTATTGGTCTTATGTGATCGTTGATTTAAACTAACGGAATTCTGATGAAAATTTGAATATGAATTATTAGCAGTTTTGCAAGGATGATAAACATTTTTTTTTTTATTTGAATTGCTTGTCAGTTGGTAACAAATCTTAGAGATGTGTATACATTTTTTAGGACAAAATTGAATTGGCAGATATCATGGTTAAGAAGCGTACTAGAAAAAGATACTGTCGCCTCATCCAATTTTTACAGCAGTCAGCTGTTGACATGCTAGGCGAGCAACCGCGACAGTGAGGACGGGGAACAGCTGATTTTATGTTCTTAGTTGACAAATTGTCTGCTAGCTACTAACGTACACATGCATAAGCCATCAGCATTAGCACCAGTAGCCTCATTGACTATATAAACACTTGTGTTAAGGTTTAAATACAGTAGTCAATGCTATTACTGAATTTGATACTATACATATTGTTACTAATAGCCTATATATGAAATGGAGAAAAACGTTACCTTAAAAATACAAAATTTCCCAATTTATATCCAGACCTTTTTAAATAGCTTAAAAAACTGTACGCTACCCAATACCCCTGTATAGGCCAATCACTGGAGAGTAGGTAGGCAAGATTTAATTTAGAATTATTATCCTTCAACACCAAGCTAACAGCTAAGATGGTGTTTGCTGAGATAACCTATCATTTGGTGATTTCCCTCAGATGGTAGGATGCTGCACAAATTACTCCAATGCATGGTAATAAAAAATTTAGGGATGGTCAAGTCTCGAAATTTCGGGAAATTTTCGGGAAATTTTTAATCTCGTTAAACGAGACGAGATTTTTTTTTGGCTGAGATTTTTATCGAGACGAGAATTAAAAAAAAAAAAAAAAAAAAAAAAATTTAAAAACGCCTGCAGAAAGTCAATGCAATACCCGCAATACAGGAGCGTGTTGTAGTTGCGTTTCCTTTGCGAAGGCGTTCTTATTTAATTAATTCTTTAAATGTAAATATTACTTTAATTATTTGAATAATATTACTTTAATGACATTTGAGAAGTTTTGTTAACTGTAAGCAGTGTAAGGAATGTTTTATTACTATAAAAAGTCAAAACAAGTAACTATTTTATAAAAACTAATATTGCTTTTATTTTATGATTTATTTTATTTTAGTATAAGTTGAACTCTATCCTAATAATGTTTCCTAATCGTAGGCATTTTTAATAAGTTAGGCGTGATTAATAAAAAAATGTTATGCTGATGTTTTTTAATAAAATATTGTAAATATTCTTGCCTATTATCATTATTTTTGTATTTAAACAGTGATCTAACAATGTTACAAAATCAGGTAAAAATTTTGAACGTGCATTTCCCGTTGTGTATGAGAAGGGAAATCCCGTCTCGATCTCGTCTCGAAATTTTATGAGAAATAAAAAATCTCGTCTCATCTCGTCTCGAACTAAAAATCCAATATCGTCCATCCCTAAAAAAATTATAATTTTATTCTTCAAAATAATGAAAATCCTTTATAATCTTCCTTATAAATGATACCTAATATTACTATATCAGTATTTAAATGGCAACAGTCTTACTTGGTAAAATTCCTACGATTTTACTGGCTTAAATAGGCTGTGATTCCCAGTTCCTACGGACTATGACTGTTTCAAGTACAGTAGGCCTAATGCTTGAACTCGTCTGTAACAATTTCAAAAGAAATAATAACAGGTAAACTTAAGTAATACTAATTTCACATAATTGAGGCAAACAGAATTAATTTAAGGTGATTTTACAATTTACAAAATATTCTCAGAACATGTGCTTTTTCATCCAAATGTAACATGAAAGTTGAATATTTAATATTTGACATTTACAAAGTTATTAAC